TCTTTCCCTCATAGTCTTCTGTGCATGCTGGCTGTGCGTGTGGAATTCAGATAGTAAAATACTGAAGCATTTTGTCCAAGTGACCAAATGGGACTGCTGATCTCAGGTGCCCATCAGATTGATGTTAATGAAACAAGCAGAGCACACACGCACAACTCGTTAGTGCTTGAGAAACAGCTCCTCCTCAAAAAACCAAAGCAGCACTTCCTCAATGCAGAAAGTAGGTATTTCCATGTACAAGTACTTCCAAAGTGACTTCCTTTTTTGGGAGGGAGTGGTGTGGTGATGTGGCATTTCAGTTGCCTTCAGGCCTGAACACTGAAATAGAGTAACAATTATTGTTGAGCTCATTTGTTTTGCTTTGTCTGCTTTCTGCAATCTGTGGTGTTTTAATCTTAGTAAATTTGAGATTATCTTTATACTTATCTTGACCTTCTAAAAGCAACTCCTCTTAGACCACTTCCTGAAATTGGGTTACTGAAGGAAGAACTTTGTTCCTGTCAGGTCATTAAGGGTCTCCCTTTTTTTTTTTTTTTTTTTTTTGGGGGGTTGGGGGGGTTTGGGTTTTTTTTTTTTTTTTTTGGGTTTTTTTTTAACAAAACAAATAGCAAGCAAACATGAATAACTGCCTGAACCTACCTTGTCCCACATAAACTATTTGGGCCATATTTTTTTTTTCAATCAGCAATCAAATGTAAATCTATGTTCAGTGCTTCCATGGCTGGTGTTTATTGTCCATAAACTGATAGATAACAACTCTATAAAATTTGTATTACAAAACATCGTTTTATCAGATTTCAGAAAATGGCAGCTTTAGCTGTGTCTTTTGGCCTTCCCTTTAGGGAAACCTTGGACTTTGCACTTTTTTTAAAAAACAAAAAGTCATTCTATCCAAATCATCCTTATGTACAATGCCTTTCTGATCTGAAAGTTTCTTGGTTTTGCCAACATTCTTGTATCGTTGTGGGATTTGTGAGATCAGTTTCCAATAATTTTGTTTGACTGTGACCAATGACCAAATGTATTGTGTGTGTGTGTGATGCAAAGATGACTTTAGCAATGTCTATCTTCTAGACTTGCTCCATTTTGTTTATAGTGTGCAAGTGCCATTATGAGTATTGAAAATTACGGTAATGATGTTTTCAAATGTTGAAAAGATGGAGTCTTTCAAATTTAGTTTTTCATTATGTGCCTTTAATATGACTGTGTTCAATTGTGTATTCTTTGTCTCTTAAACATATGTTTACCTTTTTAGCTCTATAAAACTACCAATTTCTAATAAATGTTTGTTTCCTTACCTGGCTGGAGTGCGCTGATGTTTTTTTTCATGGCCTGATAGACAGATTTCTTCATTGCACTCTATGCATAATACTCAGTGTCAAAAATGAAGGTAATTTATCTAAAAATAAGTTTGAGACTAGCCTATGCTTTGCTACTACATTGATATTTGAAAACCTTGTCTAAGATTAATTGATTGTCATCCTGTTTAAAACTCTAGCTGTCTCATCACTTAATGGAAAATCACATAATGGTTAATATTTTTGCTTGTTCATTGAACAGTATAACACCATGATTTGCTTCTGTGTGTGCTGCATGACAGAACTCTTAATAATCAGAACAAACACACTTGCTTGTATTCTTAATGTTTATCCTGCTTTGCTGTTGCTTTGTTAATCTTGCTTGTTAGTCAAAGGATCAATATAAAATCTTTTCAAGGTAATTGACTTAATTTAGTCTGTATGTCTAGCATGGCTAGCCTACTGAAAGCATGCTCAGTAACCAGCTTTGACGACAACTTACGAGATTTTCACACCAATCCTTCAAATGTTCAAGATAATTGTAAACAAATTAAGGAGGCTTTTCTTGTCTCTGATTCCTGCAGATACAGTTCTTGTAACATAAGATTTAGAAGTTTCCTTTTAAATAATGGAAGAGGTAGATGCTCAGTGTGTGATTCCTGACTAAATGAACAATGTGACATTCAATTCTAGGCAAGGATGCTTTTAACTGGAAATTCTCTGCAATTGGAAAGGCTGAGCTATGAGTGATCTCACTCACAGTGGTCAAGTGGTAAGGTGTGATCTCAAAGATGTCTGAGTTGGATGGTCCCCCCCATCTCCTCCAATGAGAAAATCTAAATTGCTACAAAATGTAGCACAAGTATTTAAAATATTGCTTTCAATTTAGCCTGTTGGGAAACTGAATTCTGCAGTCATCTTATCAAGGACTGGTCCCAACAAGATGCTTTTTTGATGTATAGGATTTACTACACAGGCAGCATGTGTGATGTTTGGCTTTTGGTACAGCTCAGATCTGCAACGCAGGTAGTATCATTATTTCTAACTGCTTGCAACTATGTACAGCTTGTGTTAAAATAACACTGAGGCAGCAAAAAACCACATGGGCAGGCAGTCTGTTTCTCTCTCTTATAAAAATATTTTTACTATCATTTTGAAGTTTGTTGTGTGTTGGCCAAGGGAAGTAGAATGCTAAGCAAGTATCACAACTGTTTCTTCAAGCTTGTTCCTTTAGTTTTTAGTGTATTCCACCAATGTATCTTTAGAATCTGTTGAAACGAGTGTTTCCATAATCCATTCTAAGTTCTTAAATTAATGGTGATGGATTTGTAGGTTTGTGACTACTTTTGTCCATTGTTTTAAAAGGTTTAGTCTGAAACTTGCTAAATTCTACAGTCCAGAAAAATCTTTCACATTTCCCCTGTATCTTATCTTTTGCTAGGTGTTTAATATTTTTCAAAATGTATGCAAAGATGGTGCCTGTAGATCATATGAAAAATATTGCCATGTAACTTGCTACTGCCTCTTTAGTTAAAGAAACTGAGGCATGAAGAGGATGTAAATCCTGTAGTGTCATTGGTAAGTTAATAAGAGGTTCAGGAATTGTGCATCCATGTCCAAACTGATCCCTAACAACTTTTCTGGGGTGTTCCTTGAGCAAACGATTCTTCCTATGCATAGGCCTATACATAAGAGGCCCAGAAGGGAAAAGAAAAGCTTTGGTTTTTTCCATTCAAGACATATGTGGGGCATCACTGCTGCTCAGTAGCATTAATGCTAGAAAACACTGCAGAAATGGTTTGGATTTTAAAATACGATTGCCAATGTGTGTCTTCCTGTCTCGACTGTGGTGGGCTTCCTGGCAGGATACGTCTGCTGCAGCGGTGGCATTCTGCAGAGTGGCACCAGCCCAGGCCCAAGCTGTCATGCGCGCTGGCTAGCGGAAACATCACGGTGAACACTGCGTACCGAAACCCACTCAGCAGCTTTCCTTTCTGCAACGGAACACCGGATGCTGCTGCACTACCCAGGTGAGGCTAGGTGTGGACATGCCCGAGGCCCAGATTAGCCTTCTGAGGCCCAGGTTGAGATGACTTCTGTTCTCTGCTGGCTTGTTTCAAACCCCTGAGCTAGCCACACTTGTTGGTATGCGGCAGAACGTATTGGCATCTTTGCGTTCCCTTCTCATATTTGAAGGTTAGAGGAGGTATGGCAAGAAGTGCGTTGCAGTCTGTGATGTTGCCACACATAAACTACTAAAGTATCGAGGATGTCTTAACCTGCAGGCTATTTGCCATGTAAGGGAATGTGGTTTTTAAATGCTTCCCCTTCTGATGTCTGAGTGGTATTTGGGATGGCTTTTAAGGCTTACATTAAAACAAGATACTGATCTAAACTGTATGTTGTGGAGAACATAATTGGTGAGAACTGGATACTGAGCACAAAGAGTGATTTTGGAATAGTGGCAGTCTTGCTGTGTGAATTATGTCTAGCTTCTAAGCCTCCTGGTCTCTGAAAATGTGTAGAAAAATGACTTCTTTTTTTAGTCAATATTTATGCAATTCAAGGTGAAAATTATTTGTGTTCTGGCAACTAACTAAATGTGGGAGTATTGCGCACCTTAAGCTCTTAGACTTTGAGTAAAGTTACAGGGTTGCTAAAGGGTTAACAAAGGAGTGTAGTGGGTACTATATAGGTGTATAAAAAAATAGTGTGTATATACATACATATTCACATATATATATACACACACGTATAAAATCTCTTTTTCTCTGCGCCAAGTTTGTGCATCTCCTTTGTGCAGCAGCTGGAGCAGCTTCCAGAACAGCCTTTTAATGGAACGCTCCTGAAGCAGTGAAACTGCTGT